CACAATCTTGCTCAGCTCATTAACATGGGATATTCCATCTCCGAGGCCACCTCTGCCCTCGACGCGGCGCGCGACAATCTCACCAAGGCGACTGATCTCCTTGCCTCGAAGCAATTAGACAGGTCGCTCTCAGTCCGAGGTTCGTTCGACGCCCCCACAACTGCTCCCTCGAGAGCTCGAAGTGGCGCTAGAGGCGGCGGTCGCTCCGGTCGTGGTGGGGACATGAAGTTTGCCATCGACATGGAAGACGATCCTGGATTCGATCCTGTGAGCTGCACTTTTTGCGTTCGGTACTTTTTTTCCATTCTGCAGTTCGTCTTCAGCGAAAAGACGCATGTTTCTTGCATCAACTGCCTCCTGTCTATATGTTTTACTTGTCCAATGTGCCATAAAGCACACATGAGTTAACGGCCTAGTGCACGTCTGATAAAGCCTGTCCCAGTGGGCCTAGCATAGGATTATTCATCACATAATACATACTTTCCACAGGTTTGCTTCACTCCAAACTAATTCACCGCCTTACATGATACATGATGGACGTCGTTCTGCACGTGTTCGATCGTGTTACAAGTTCTTAGCTAAGCTTGGACAGTCGATCTGTGCATGCTAGAGGAGAAATTCAACGATGTATTCAACCATGCCAGCGTTTCATAGAGTCTTGCCGTTGGAGCGTGTTGGGTACGGTCAATGTATGCGTTTTATACGTGTAATTAAAGCTATCTTACCTAGTCTGATCCAGTCATTAATGCCGTGTTGATTGCACGGCCGTATTCAGACGCCCCATTGCTTCTCCGATCTGAGGTCTGAAGTCTGTCTGCTCCGTGTGCTCCATAGACGCGGAGTACTCAAAAGAGGAGGGGTTTGCCGACCAAAGCCTGTCAGAACAAATGATTAATTTCTGGCAAATTTCGGATAATCATTCAAAATCTCCTAGGTTCATGTTGAGAAAGCTCCACAATTTCGGTTTTGTTGGTAGCGAATAAGTCAAAACTGGTATATACAGTATCGCTCATAATTACAAATAAACGCGTCAACGAGGCAGTGAATCGGGTATTTGTGACTCCGGCAGAATAATGCACAAAGGAGTCAATTGCCATCTTACGTCCTCTGCAAAGCGGACTGAAGACTGGCAACTTTTTAAGCATTGTGCTGTGTACATTCGCATCTATCCTCCCTTCAACTTTGAAGCATGCTGTTCCCGGAGAGAACTTGAAGATGGTTATAGCTGTA